GAATTTTAGTATTTTTACTGTATTACGTTTTATTTTTTTTGTCTCATTTGGATGAGATTTGTATAAGAAGAAAAATTAACGTCTTTGAAACAAACAACATACTCTTTTTTGTATTCGTCTAAACACAATTGGATATTTCATAAGTCTTGATCTTGGCTGATCTAAACAAGATAAATACAACAGTAACAATTTTTTATTTTTATATTTGTTCTATGATACCTAAAAAATCCCATAAATCCAATTTTCTACTAAATCCTGAATCTATACATCGTTTTAAATAATCTTCAACTCGAACATTTTGTCGTTTTTGATCAAGTAATTCTTTTGCATTTATTAAATTTGAACAATATGACACATATGATGAACGAATACGTTGAAGCTAATAGGAAAAAATTGAACGATGAATAAATTTGAAGTGTCAACTAAAACTCTTACCCATTCTAAATAAATATTTCCAACAGCATCAACACATGTACTATATTTTGGTTTAAGACGATATAATAAATCTAAAAACGAGAGATTTTGTAGAAATCAGTCGAATATGTCGTTGTTTTGAGATAGATATGTGTATACCTTCATGAAGCGGAAGTATATCTTCTAATGGTCCAAATATTTGTTTCAGTTCATCATCTGATAAAATATTTAACGTTTTCATTCCATTTCTGTATACCTAAAGTTGATATTCTTCTTAAATGTTTTCTTATAATGCTAAGCTAAGATCCCTTACTCTTTGTGCTAAATCTAAATTTTCTACCATTTTTTCCTCTTCTGATAGCAATTCATAAATAACATTTTGTCGTTCTACTTCATGTTCACTCATAGTCTGTCTTAAACTTTCATCACACGTTTCTAACCATGTTGAATAACGAAATTTTTTTGTTGTTGACGTTGGCGATGAGAGCTTTTTACTCATTCGTAGTTTTATATCTTGTTGTTGTTGTGTTATCATTGTTGATTTTTGTGTACACATAATATTTAACACACGATCACGCATTGGACTTAATAATTCTGATACTGAACTTAAACGGGGTAGAGATAAACGTTTATTTGTTTTACGTACATTGCCGACAAACTCTTCAAGACTACGTAAACTAACAGTATCAGGATCTAAAATAGGCAGTTGTGAGGGTTTTCGTTTACGTTTTAATAATCTTTTTTGAAATGATTCTTTTACATTTGACGATGATGTTGTTGAAGAAACTGAAGATGTTGAATCGAATAATGAATCAAGAACATTGGAATCCATAGGTTCAGGAGAAGTACGAGGAAATTTAAATGAGTTACCACTACTAAACATAATCTTTGATGAGAGAGAGACCAAAAATGAGATAATCGTATTTTCACCACATTTTTAAATCTGAAAATCAAATCGTTAATTAAACTTTTGAAATTTTTACTAGATGCAAATTGTTCATAAAACTCGACACACTTACTTCACATATTTCGAGGCCAAATCAAAGTCTTTTTATATAAAAAGATATCTCGAATACTTAAGAGAGTACTATTCCCTGATGAATTTTGATTATTATATTTTTTAATGCTGATCTTATTTCCGTTGTGTCGGTAAAAACTTCTATACACAAAATTTAATTATAGCTTTCTTATATTTGATCTAATTAGTTGAAAACAATTGCGTTAAGCTTTCCATTAACTTTTTTTGTTGATATAGACAACAATAATGTTCAGAATAAAAAATTTTCGATTAGAAATTCTAAACCTACATGTGAAATACACACAGAAAAAATTTGAACACGGATCAAAGAGATGAAAAACATATATGATGTATGAATATAACAGTGTGTAAAACAAATGAACATTTTTCTCTTTACATACATAATGAAATCATATTCTATAGCACTTACCAGACACATACTACAATATGATAAAAGAACATTATACTAGTATACTATTGTTTGTCTCAAGATCTCGATTGATTGAAAGTGAAAGAAAATCTAAGCAGCTGTTAAGTTGTAGTTATAATAATAGTAATAGTAGTAGTAGTAGTAGTAGTAGTAGTAGTAGTAGTAGTAGTAGTAGTAGTAGTAAAAAGAAAATAGAAATGTTCATAATCATTATGAGAGAAAAAGAAAAGGACATTTACGCAATACGACATGTCAAGGTTGTAAAGAAATCTCTAAACAAAAGCAATTCAAAAAGACAAAACTCTTTTCCTATCAATATTTTTGACTTTTGCCAACAAAATTTTTAATATAAAAACTGTTGAATAAGTGATAAATTTAGTTTCAAAGTCAACATTTTTTTAGAGTGACCCACTTTAAGATAAAAGAAATGGTATTATTATCGTAAAAGTTCATTTAGAATCTTAAAATAGCGTCAATCAGATTTTGAGAAGTCACAAGAAAAATATTGTCGATGATTTTAGTTTTTTGTACTTACAACTATGTAGCTATTTATTCTATGATTAAATCACTCATCTGCACACTCATTAATCTCTTTCTATGCATTTCGACTGTTAATCGATTTAAACAGTTCCACCTACCGTTTTCGCTAATAACCTATAACTTAGAAGTACAACTAGTTTGTCAATCAAACTTTTAGTCGAACAAATATAACCAATACAATACACTATCGTCTAATACTACAAAACAGTGCAAAGAACAGAGATATCATCATCATGTTGTCATTTAACAATAGACATAATTAAATTATGATTTATATACTCTCTACTATATAAGTTAATAACAATACGTATCATAAGTAGTTGATCTAACCTCGATCTATACATCTATACATATACAAATATAACGTTTGTCATTTCATTATTCATCGATCAATGACATGGTAATAAAAACCAACCAAACTGCTCAATAAAGCTTGTCAAATGGTGTAATCTATCGTTAAGTATGATAGTAGCTCAACGGTGAGAACTCCACTATAAGTATGTTTTTGTTCAATATACATACAAAAATCATTTTCGAATGTTCGACAACAACCTTGACAATGAGAATATCTTTTCTTGTTATATAAGAATAGATGTTCATAAAACAAACACAAAAAGTATGTGCTAATGATAATCAACTCATCTCCTTCGTCACGTTCAAAATACATGTGGTTTTATTACATAAAACTAATGAACGATGAAAAACGGAGGTAAATTGACAGTCTAAAGTAGAAAATAAAACATAAATTATTTTTTCTTCTTCTTTTCAAAGTGCTCACAAATAGTTTGCTATCAGTTTTCTTATAAATATCTTATTTAACAGTAGTACCCTACAGCAGTTAAAAAAAAGTTAAATAAATAAATTTTATTTTATAAACACTTTTTTTTTCGTTAAAGAAAAGCTCAAGCCTTAGAAACTTGGACTGGCTCTTACTATGCGCACAGTCCACTGTAACGAAAAAAGTGATTATAAAACAAAATTTATTTAGTTCAAACAGGTCAAGTTTAAAATAGCAAAGTTAATTAGAAAAATATAGGAGATGAAAGAGACAGTAGGGATGCTCTATTAGCGTTTTCTTCACTAAATTTAAATCTCATCACCTTAACTGGAAATAATTGGAAACCTTGAGTATTATAACGGCAAACAACCAAAACAAAATTGTAGTATTTGACATCGATTGTTGAAAGAAGTTATGCCTTGTTTGTTTTAGTAGAATTTATCAAAACAGAACAAATATTCTAACCTTGAAACTGACAGATCCTTTCTTGTTCAATTCCATTTCTCTGTATCCTGTTTCTTTTTCTTCAAGGAGCCACTTACTTTGTTCTATTCTCGATATTTACTCAATTCTCGCTGATATGTACATAAATCGAAATCTCTTAACATTGAATTGAAGTATGTAAGGATTGATAAAACAAAATGCAACAAAAAACAACGACACAGAGCGTTAAGAAATCAATCAGATGTAACATAATTTTTGATTTGTTCTTCTCCTCAAACCTCATTTCTACTCGACCAAAGGCAACAGGAAAATGTCGGGTCTGAAAAAATAATACACTACTGTTGGTGTACAATTGCCGGATAAAACGCTCTCTAAGTTTGTCAAGCCTCTTTTGAACTTCATGCTATTGCTGAGAGAGAGAGAGAGAGAGAGAGAGAGAGAGAGAGGGAGAGAGATTTCCAAACAGACAAAAAGAGTCGAGTATATATCACCTTAGTACAGGAGATTAATCAAAAAGATAGACTTACTGAAACACTAGAACTTATCATCATGAAACGATAGAAAAACCATACCTAAACAGTTTCTTGAACAAATTTCTCTACAATATCTGTTTCACAATCAAGTAAGGCCGCTCTTTCGATACATTCTCACTATGCGCACCATTCACTCCCGCTATTATCTTACTCCCACAATCGTGTTATCGATAGGGACTATCAATAGCCATTCCAAAATTAAATCATCTTAAAGTTTTTAATTTTTAAAAATCAATTTAATTGAAATTTTAATTAATTTGTTGATTGAAAATTTGTCCCTTTTATTGGCTTGAGTAAAGTACCAATCAAAATCGATGAATGCACGGATGACTTGAAAATCAATCTCTTCTGTTACAACCTTAAAGAGGCAATACTAATAACGATAGTATCTTCAATGTCGTTGAGAAAGACATTGAAAATTAGGAGCATGTTCTGGTGAAAAAAATGCGTGTTTTTTGTCTGCTAACTGTCGAAAAGCCTTTGGCTTTTAAACGAAAGTCGCGTAGAGGATTTTTTCGTTTCACAAAACGATGTCATATTATCTGAATGGTGTTGATATGTGTGTCTTTCGAATTACTAACTATGATAAATAATAGAAATAATATTTCAAGCAAATTTTCTATTCATATCGTTTCTTAACTATTTGCATTCATCTGAACAATGTTCGGATAATTATTTGAGTCAATAATCTCTTAATTGATTCCAGACATTTTGATTCTTTTTAAAATACAAATAATGTTCACTACTTAGTCATTCGTGTGTGTTTATTCAATCTTAAAAAATTGTGTGATCCAAATTTAATGAAAAAAATAATTTTCGATTCCATAAGATAGATATTTATGTCTAATAAATGATTATTTTAAACACTCGAAGAGCCATTGAGATGGTGGTTGCATATCCGATAAGCCAAGACAACGTTCTTGTTGGTTGTGGTAACGGTACTTGATAAGCTATAGTATGTACTAGTCTCGAAAGTAGAAATAGTCGATAATGCCATAGGGCACAATCATATTTTGGTTGTGTTCCCACATAAAATAGTCCAATAAGAACAAACGGAATAATGTTTTCTAAATCGTTTAAATGATTACCGCGAACTCGTTCAACAACAGCATTCATGCAATCTCTCCCTCTACCACGTGCTCCACTACCTCCATCTGAAGAGAATAAAAGCTGAGTGCTTAAAGTTTCGAATTCTGGTGTAGTGTTGTCTAGAATTTAGCATTTTAATAAATGAATACTATGAATGGGAAAATTAAAGTTTGATACACTGTAAAGCCTTATAATCTACTTTGTTCAGATGATTTGCAGTAACATACATTTATTATATTTTATCTTTAGATTTTCGTAAATTGCTCGAGTACATTTGCTAAATGAAGAGTGTATCTGTCTTGGAATCCTATTTTCTGCTGAACATTTACCTAATCCACTTTCGCTACCGAGTAAGCTGCTGACTAATTGTTTGTACACATCATCTTCTGGTGTGGCAAATGTTTTTGTTCGAAAACGTTGTCCAATAGTATAGGCGGCAATGCCGAACATTTTCAAAACGGCTGCCGTAGAGTAGCCAGCGAATGAGACGAAAGCTGGATTTGTAAACGAATATAATCCATTACTCATACTATCATTAAAAGCGCCACAGCTATAATGTAGCATCTTTGTGTAGTTCGAATAAAATATTTCTATAATCGTACTAGATAACTTAAACTACCTCTTGAATTTTTCTATAAAGAAGTTTGTCAAAAAAATTAAATTAATTCTGAATTTCGATCTACACGCTTAATAATAATAAGTAATCAGATATAGTCAGGAAAATTAAACGTTTTTAATGAAATATAGTGTAACTACAAGCAAAATGAGGAGAAATGATTTAAAATATCAGAAAGCGCGCCCACATTTAAGACAAGGTTATCAGCAAAGAACTTTAAAAGTTGATTCTTTTATGTTCGAGCTGTCAGATGTAAGCTATTACAGAGTTCTGTAAAGCTCTTGTATGACATCTTCTGTAATGCGACCGTTTGTTTATGAGGAAGAACTCAGAGAATACTGTATCTTTCTACAAAAAAAACATTCAGAAATCCACGATACCATATAGCATCATTCTCCCAAACAGTACCTTTTTTCTTTGCAGAAAGGTGACTGCATGATTAAGTTTGTGGATACGTATCAATTACTTACTCTGAAATTTTGAATTCATTCAATAACAGAAACATCAATTGGAAAAATATCCACTTTTAACAGAAAGTCAATCATAAACTCTTGCTTTGAAATGTTTTCTAAGGGTTCGAGTAATCTTCAGCTTTCTTCAAAATAGAACCGTATCAATTTACTATAAAAAGTTGTGTCAGCCTTACGACTGAACTACTTGACTCAGGCTTTTAGCTACAGTTCTTTCCTAATGGATATTTCGCGTTTTCTTTGTCTTTGTTTTTTAGATCGTTAGGTAAAACAAACCACAAGAATGATGGCGCTAGTACCGTCGACTGCGAGTACTCTGGCACGCGGTACTAGTAATATTACCAATACTACAGCAGTATCCTCTGGAAATAGTGGAAATGCTGATAAAGTGTGCGGTATTTTACAAGAGGTATGTACTATGAATAAAAAAAATAAACTATTATTCGGTTTGAATAAGAATATCTGTGATGATTGATATGACATTGAATAACGTTTCAAAAAAAATGAGAAAATCTTCATTTCAGGAACTTTACGATGTACCCTATTTTGAATGCTAAACATGGTTATTTAGTATAACGTGTGTAAATATTCATTTTTTTCTTTCTGAAGTTTTACGAAAACAAGAAACAGCTTTTGAAACTTTCATCTCAGAAAATTCTCTAAACCATTAGAAATAGAACATATCGTGACGTTTTTGTGTCATCTGAGGTAACATTGAGTAGGTAAAGACTTTCTCATTTTTCAATGTAAATGAGTAAAGGTTTAGGAAAAACGATTTGGAAAAGTCTATTTACATTTATCTTCTTGTGTCAAGATGTATCAGAGTTTTAGCTGTCGAAAGCCGAAAACGATAATTTTCCATCTATGTTCTATCAACTGTCGCAGCTAGTCTTTTAATCAACGAACATTAATGTTTCATTTCATAACAATTTGTTTAGATTCGTGACGAGTTTCATACGTTAAAAACGTACTTGGTTAAAAATGATAAAAGTAGTGACCAATCAAATTTAAACGATGTTTTAAATAGAACTGAACATACGATTAAAGTAAGAAACTAAAGTTGTTACTTTGCTTATTCTCAAATATGATAATTACCCAGTTGTGCAAAAATTGTTATGAAGGTAATTTTTCATAGTTAATTCAACCAGATAATTTTTCCTAGTCGAGAATTCCGTGAAATTCCGAGGAAGCTTTTACTTTTTCGCTGATTTTTTGGTTAGTGTTTGCACCCTTCATCACTTCGTTCGAGTGATGATCGAGAGGCAACTACCTTGTGGTAGAAAATCAATTATGCAGCAAAAACTTCAAAATTCTGAAAATCTCTCATAAAAACCAGAGATATAGAATCTACTCATAAGAATGGCAAACTTCCTCCTACGGGAAAAGTTCTCAGTATTGTAAGAATCCTTTATTCGACAAGGTGCTTTTATCGAAAAAGTCGCAAGATTCCTAGTGAATTCCCATAACGGCGTTCCCTCAAGACTTGTATAAAATTTCTTGACTATGGCTCACTATATTGCGATGGTAGTTAGAAGTATTTTTCAATACTATCACTTGTAATTAGTTCATTTGCTTCAGGAACGAACAGATGAAGTATTGAATATGTTAAATGGGAACATCGCAACGTTAACATTTAATCAAATGGCAGCCGTAGCTTCTGGTAATAATTCATCCATGTTTGAACAATTATACAATTTACAGACAAGAGACGGATCAAGAAAATTAACATTTATGTACGTTTGAAAGAATAAAACTATTATTAATAAAATTAGCAAACCATAAAAAGCATTTACTATTAAATCGTTACTCTTCAAAATGTTTCTCGACATTTTTTCAGGCCAAATGGTAATAATCGTCAATCTGAATATTCGATTCCATCAATTCCTGTTATAACAATTGGTCCGTCTTCCAATCAACAGCCTCGTATAGCACCGGGTATGGCAGCTAAAATGGAATATGAATCAAAAATTATTCGTAATCCATTTAATCAAAAAAATCGTCAAGTTTTATACGATAATTTTGGAATACAATTGCCACTAATTGAAAGACAACAACAAAAACAAGTAGGGCACCTAATAAAATAGGTACCGAGCAAATAAGATATCTACTTTATTCTCATAATATGTTCTCTGTTTTTTTGACTAAATATGTCAGAATAACTTTGTTCAATTTTCGCACTAAGACGGAAAATATGACAAAAAGAATCAGACAAAAGTAAAGATATAACATGAAAGGTAAAAGAATAGATGTAACACCTTCACTAATCAAATATCGGCCCAGATATAACTTTTTATGAAAAGAGATATCTCATTTGCTAGATTTCTCATGTCTAAAATATTTATCAGTTTGCAATGTTCCTCAACTTGTAGTTCCCATCAAAAAATTTAATGTCAGCCAAAACAACTGAACCATTAGGTATATTACCCATGAAAACGCGAAGAAATCCAGTGGTTAGTAAATGGCAGAATAAAATTAATTTGATCACATTTGGTGATTTTCTTTTGTTTTTAACACAGATATTTATTGAAACAATTGCACATAACTCACAGCACAGTTATTGCTTCTACTTACTTGCTTAGTGTGCAGTGTACTGATATTATCACCATTAGCTTACTTTGTCAATATAGTAAGTGTATTTTCGTACGTTTGTTTAACATTGGTTTACACTACTTTGTGTTCGTTTAAAAAAAGAATAATCCATGGCCATTTTATGAATAATCTTTGACTAGTGAAAGCTGGAGAGCTGGGTTTTTCTGATATGGAAAGAAGAAATTATGGAGCATCTTTTAAAGGCAGAAACCCTTTTTAGAGATTTTTTTCAAAAATGTTTTTTTCAAGAGATTTCTGCAAAACTCGTGAATAACGGAAAACTTTCAACTTTTTTTACTAAACGATTGATTTTTTTACATCAGTAGATAGAAGAAAGTGCCCACTCCAAAAATCTAAGCGATCTCTTAAACTTTCGTAGTTGGGGTGTGGCATCAGATTTGCTGGGAGCCCTATGATGGATATTCTCTTAGGTATGGTAATCCTGAAAATGAATGGAAACATAGGTTA